GACCAGCAGGGAGGAGATTGTGTGCCCTATAATGGATATCTATTTGCTATGCTAGCATGACGAAGTAGCACCGATTTACCCTTCTTGCCTTTTTAGGAGTGATAGCCCAGCCAAACTACCAGACTTTATAGAAGTGTTTGGCTTTCTGGGTCTCGGATCACTAGGACGATTATTATGGGACACGGAAGCAGGCTGGCCAATATCAATTCGGTACACAAAGGTCTGACAGCGCAGGCCCAGGAGGGCCGGAATCGAGGCGCTCCATAGTCGGGCTTGAAACGATTTGCTTGCGACACGCTGACTGCCTGCAGGAGATTGACGTGAATGAGCTGCTAAATCCATGAGCCAAGGAGAATCGGTAGGATCACCTTCCTCGTTGTCAGAATCTCGTGAATCGCTCGGTATGCGATCGGCAGCAGCTATCCGACTAAGACAAGCTGCCTGATTTCTCTTGTTGACAATTGAATTAGTTGCAGAGCCTGGTACTTCTGCAATTGCCCATTGGCTTCCCCAGTTGTCCAGATCGTTCTTCCAGTCGCACAATCGTCCCGAGAACTCGCACCGATAGACTGGCTTTGGCCTCACCCACAAGGCAGAATGACGGCTAGAAGTGCTGTTGGTAGCGGTTACTCCAATGACAGCTGAGGAAGACAAGGACAAGTGACTTACTGTATCATACATGCGAACAAGCAGTCATAAAGAGTGGGGCACAGACGAAAAGGAGCAAGCTCAGACTGATCAACCTACTAAAGATACCGACTAAGTACATATTTAGAAACTGCTCTTTGAGTAAAAGTAGTGCAGAATTTTTGATTTTACTTTTAATATACAGTGGTATTAAAGCTCAAGCCTAATGAAAAGATTTAGGAAAAACAAAATCAATATACCTTTTTGAAGTGACATTAAAGTGCTAACTGATCGATGCTCTCTACATGGTCCAGGTTCTTATTAGAAATATACAAAGAATTTCTGAGAATTCTCACTGCTTAGATAATCATTATCATCCGAATATGTGAATTAGAAGAGGCCTTGTTTGCCTTGATTATCACATCTGTCCTGTTACCCACTGGCGCCCATAGCTGCGGTGGAGCTGTAACGTGTCGTTACTCTACATACTTGACCCAGTTTTTAATAAAATATAGGGTACTTATG